CACAGAAGGAAATTGACACAGTCGAGACCACGATTTGGACTTCTAGCCTCCAGAACTGTGAAAAAATAAATTCTGTTGTTTAACGCCACCCACTCTGTGGTAGTTTGTTATGGCGGCTCTAGGAAACTGAGATAGCTGGTAAGATCATAGAAGCCCTGAAGATATGTGAGGAAGAAACACATGGGAAGTAGAAGAGTCTTGCCCACTATCTCCGTCTCCCAAACCTGCACTGCGGTTCTTCAATAGCTCCTCAAGTTTAAATAAAATGGGTACCATTTCACTTGCTCCTTTAAAACCAAAACCAGACCCATTGCGGTCGAGTCAATTCCAACTCATATCAGCCCTATAGGACAGAGTAAACCCCATAGGGTTTCCAAGGAGCACCTGGTGGATTCGAACTGCCAACCTTTTGGTTAGTAAGCCAAATGCTTTACCACTGCGCCACCAGGGCCCCTTTAGCAGACCTAACAAAGTTAAAGCAATTTTGCCTTAGGTCATAGAGCTGGTCAGTGGCAGAGCCAGGAATGAATTCCAAGGCCAAACGACTCCAAAAACATGTCCCAGACTCCTACAAATCATTGTGAGGATTAAATAAGCTAATACATGAGGTGTTCTTAGCACAATGCCTGGCACAGGAATGGTAGTTGATATCATTGCTAGTTTCATTTTTATCTTTAAATTCCACTTATCCCCCCTGCACTGGTCCCAGCAGAGAAAGATGGTGGCACTACTGCTCCTGAGGAAAAGGTAGAGTCTCCTAAGGCCCCACATTCATCCGAGGCTGGACCAAGAGGGAATGAGGGATACATGGCCTCCTGAGAAGCAGCACCTGACCTAGGTTGCTGTAAGGTGTTATTATGAAATGAATTGTGTCCCTCCAAAATGTGTGTTGGAATCCTAACCTCTATACCTTCGGATGTACTTCTGTCTGGAAATATGGTTCTCTTTCTTATGTGAATGACACCCTACCAGTGCAGGGTGTGTCCTAAACCTAATCACTTTGCAGCATAAGTGTGGCGATAAGGAAACAGAAACTGTGGAAAACAGATGTCACGTAAAGATCTCCAACAAACTGAAAAAAATGCCAGGAGACAAGCATCTTCCCAGAGAAAGCCGTCCCTTAGAGCCAGTGCCCTGAATTTCGACTTTTAGTCTCCTCAACTGTGAGAAAATATATGAGTTCTTTAAAGCCACCCATTTATGGTATTTCTGTTATAACAGCTCTAGGAAACTAAGACAGAGGTGTCCACTTACCTCCGAGTAATATTGTCCAGCACTTGGTTCCGGTGGAAAAAGAGGCCACGAGACTCAGGAGTAGACAGGATGGCATATGTTCAACACTAACCCTAACCATACTTACAATCCTACCATAAATCTCACTAATACTGTGGCCAGAGAGGCAGAAAAGGCAATGACACGGTAGCAGCAGCAGCAACAAAAGCAACCAAGAGAGAAAGCACCTAGTGGGGCCTGGTGCAGGCCCAAGGCCTGGAGGGACTCTGGCGGTGATAACTGTGGTCAACAAACAAAGCTGATGGCTGAGCCAAGCCCTGTACCCTGCCAGGGAAGCGGCCAGGGGAGATGGGATTCTGATAATTACCCTGGTGTGGGCTCAGCCACCATGGGGCTACACACAGTGCCTCTGATCTGTCTCCAGGCTGGCAGCTCCGACAGCACCTGTTACAGCAGCAGTTTGGCAAGCCAAACAAAACGTGCGTTCTTCCAGACCACCTGGAAAGGAACTTAATGCCTAGCAACCTGTGCAAAGCTCCTAATTGTCATAATTCACTTGGCACCTACTCACTGGTAGGTACTAAACAAGCACCATATACCGAAAGCCCATTTCCTGCTAACATGATTTCATTTCCCCACAGTTAAAGCTGAGAACTTGCGTACTTTGCAAAATCTGAACACCATATTTTCCTCACTAAACTGTTTTCTGTTTCTCTTCCTTTGGCCCTCTCTATCCACTATTATTATGAACACCTTCCTTTTTTCACATTTTCCAGTTACTACTTCCCTGATGCATAGTTTAGGTTATAATTATTCTCTCATTTTCCCCTCCACTTGGCAGTAGTTTGGTCTCTTCCAGCTCATATTTCTTTAGAATGTCACACTGTTGCTCTAGTTTATGTGAAATCCCTGGAAAGAGGAAAAAATGTAATAATCGTGGGCACATCCTCATATCCCTTAGAAAAGTTTTCCTGCTGTCTTCCCATTTTCCATAGCTGACAAGATCACAGTCCCGCAAGCCAACAACCAGCAGCTGAGCAGTATTTCAAAGAAAACACATTTATGAAAACCATCATCTGGTTTCCGCCACTTAAAAAAGAAAAAAGCGAGGGATGTCATATTTGAACAGAAATCATTTTGGAGGAAAAAGAAAACAAAAACATTTACTAATGATTATCATTGTTGTTAGCTGCCATGGAGTCAGCCCCCAACTCATGGCAACTCCATGCGCAATGGAAAAAAATAAAACTCTGCCCAGTTCTGTACCACCGCCATGATGGCCTACAGAATGGACCATTGTGATCCACAGGGCATTCACTGGCTGATCACCAGGTCTTTCTTCCTAGACCATCATAGGCTGGACCAAAAAAAAAAAAAAAATCCACTGGCGACAAGTTGATCCCAACTCATAGCGACCTTATAGAACATTTAGAATGGCACCATGGGTTTCCAAGGCTGTAAATTTTTACAGAAGCAGACTACCACATCTTTCTCCCATGGAGTGGCTGGTGGGTTTGAACTGCCAACCTTTCAGTCAGCAGCCAAATACAATAACCATTGCACCAGCAGGGCTCCTTTCTTCATCTGGAAGCTCTGCTAAAACCTGTTCAACCTCATAGCAACACACAAGCCTCCACTGACAGACAGGTAGCAACCGTGCATGAGGTACACTGGCCAGGTATTGAACCCAGGTCTGTGGCATGGAAGTGTGAGAATTCTACCACAGAACACCAATGTCCCCTTACTAACAAATGTATCTCGCTTATCAAGCTTCCATTGTATTTCCATGTTGCACAAGTCCACTCCACTGATTAGAACTTTCAAAAACTAAGACACTTTTGAAACAAAGAGTTTCTCTTTCTGCTTCTGTCACCCCTAAAATGTAGAGATCCAAGGTTTATCACTGAACAATAGGGGGAAAAAGGGATAAGCAAAAACTTTCCAAAAAAATGGTGGAGACTTTTTGTCTGAAAAAGTAAAACCCAATGCATCCATTTCCAGAAGTTCTCTTTTAAATTTTCTTTCTTTGGATTCCCAATACATTATCAATATAATCAAACTATTCACATGAATATTAACCAATGTCAGCAGCTCCGTATTCTATAAGGAACTGAGTATTTTCTAAAGACAACATCACAATGATTTATAAATATTAATCTTAAAACTGTACTTGAAAAGGACTGTACCAACAATTACCAAGTAGAATCTTTTTCAAAGAACAGATCACAAAGAACCCCACCAACTCTTTCCTCAGAAGTTCTATAACTTTCAGGGGAAGAGACACATAGGATACCTATTTTACAAATAAAATTTATGCTATCAGTCTGTATACTTAAAGGCCAAAAGCTCATATGCAGAATGTCTTAAGAAATTCAGTGGGCCGGTGTCAGAATGCTGCTTAAAGCTCATCTGAGAAGGTCCTGTCAGCTGAACATGGTAATAACTCAATTTTACAGACAGGAGAAATTACGAACTAAAGGCTAGAATAATTTGCTTACTGTGGGAAAAAAAAAAGTTACAAACTTATCGTGGTCCAGATAATTCTCAAATCCTCACGCACATAAAACAATTTGTATTTATTTTCAAAAGAGAAAGAGCACGTCCATTCTGTTCTCCTTTGTCTTCAGGAACTATTTTTATTAACTGTTAAGATTACATACATTTTTATAAATTAATTTTTTGCAGATATAAACTTTGTAAATATCATTTAGATACCCAGCTTTTTTATTGACTTTTTTTTACATTAAAAACTCGGCGTTTTTAAGGTGTAGTTAGATATCCCACTTGAACGATAAGAACCATTTTAACTCTTAAAAACTTAACATAGGAGTTTTGGATACAAGTTATAAAACTTCAACTCAAATTTACTTGGAAAAGGAGACTTTATCAGGAGGATTCTAAGGTATTTCATGTAACCAGGTAACAGCAAGGCCTGGGTTTTTATACAGCTTGACCCCAGAGACAAGGAAGAGCAGCACTCTCTCGCCCCTTCTGTGTTCTGGGTGGTTCAGTTTCACCCTCCTTCATGAGAACTCATACTTTCTCCAGTGATGGCTACTTGGACCTTCCAATCCCCACCAACCCACCCCTCCCCCACACACAGCTTCTACCATTAGGGAATTGGAAACCCTGGTGGCACAGTGGTTAAGTGCTATGGCTGCTAACCAAAAGGTCAGCAGTTTGAATCCATCAGGTGCTGCTTGGAAACTCTATGGGGCAGTTCTATTCTGTCCTATAGGGTCGCTATGAGTTGGAATCAACGCAGTGGGTTTGGTTTTTTTTGTTATCTCTTCCTTAGCTCCAGTTCAGAAGATCCTAAGGAAAAACTGACCAGCCTGCCTTGATTTGCATGACTATATTCAAGGAGGTGGGGCAACCTGAATGGCAAACTTGATCTAAAGGGCACGGTTGGAATCCAAAAAAGAAAAGAAGCCAAACCAGTTGCCATCCACTCTATTTGGCAACCATGGTGGCACCATGTGTTACCAGTAGAACTGAGCTCAGGTTCAAAGGACTTTACGGAAGCTGACTGCCAGGCTTTTCTTCTGCAGCACCGCTGGGTGGATTCAAACCATCAACCTTTTGGTTAGTAGTCTAGCGCAAACCACTCGCGTCACCCAGAGACCTGGTTGGAATCCAGCTAGACGTAATTCTCAAAAAAGGGAGGAATACTGGATGGATACCAGACAAATAAAAAGAAATCACGCTAAAAAAGCACAGAATCAGAAAGTTTGGGTAATGGCAGAAAGTTAAGTTGACACGCTATGGAATGCTGGAAATTGGTATTAAGGCACTCTTCAACACATTCTTTTCATATCTATCTCCCAGCCAAAACAATGAATAAATTTAAAACTTGATTACACACCATTTTCCACTCCTTTCTCTCTTAGATGTTTTCTGTCACTTCCCCACAGCATCTGAGTTTTCAGTCTCCAAATTGCCCCTAAAAGCTTATACAAAGCATCCATAATTCTACCATCAGAATTATTTTGGCGTTGTCTGTTAATTTTAGGGTTCAGATCTTCAAATGTGTATTTTGTTATTCCTGGTTCACAGCATTATCTTCCAGGTCTTGAGATTCTGATGCAATTTCCAGTTCATACTCCTTTTTCAATTGCTGCATTTTCATGTTTAAATCCAGTAAAGTTCTGGCCAGCTGGCGGTTTTGGAAACGCATTTCCAGCTAAAAGTTAAGGGAAAAAAAAGGGAGGGATTTTTATTAGCCTGAGATAGAGATTAAATGAAACCACTCTGACTGCACAGGAAAAATAAGGCGTTTGTAAGAAGGGAAAATAAGATATCAAGAGAGATGTATTTCTCATCTTATTCTCCAGTCCTGCCTGTTTGGCCTGGCTATAAAACTGACTTTCCCGATGACAAGGGACAAGGTAAAATCCAGATATACAGATAGCTTTTGAAATAGCCTTGAAATGAAAACAAAAACAGCTGATGCACGAAGCTGTCCATATGAAAAATACCTATGCATGGAAGGCTGTTTTCAAGCAATGGCATGTGATCTGCAATGAAATCATTTATCTTTATGAGCTTTCTGAACCACAGGATAGCCACGCAGGGCCACCTGAGCATTCAGGACCCAGGCCTATTTACTTGATTACTTGTCATTTCAAGTTTTCAGAATTTTAAATGGTCTCCCTGCCGAGCAAAAACATTTAACAACACCTCAGAGGCATATGTGCAGTTATGTGTACTTATATAATCAAACACTTTTCACTCTAGAGTGAAATCTGTTATATAGCAAGGCTGATTTATACCCTCCTTCAGTGGGGGTTTATGAAGGGCCTCATGTATTCAAAAATAGATGCCTAGGGTGGTTTATCTAAGAAGCAGTCCAACAAAGGTTAGTCCAACATAATCTTTGTATTACAGCTGAAAACTTATGATCGACCATTTGCAAATTTCTTAAAGTAGGGCCTTGTTTAATACAGTTCCTGAGGATCTTGCTCTCTCTGCTTAAAACCCATCATCAACCTGCCAACAGAAACCACTCCAGGATGCACCCAGGAGTTCTGCTGGTAAAAATCAAACATTGCGAGTCCTCTCCCAATTCGCAACAAAAACTCATTGGATAAAATTAACTGAAGCTTCCCTCTAGGACATTTTTCTCCATTCTTCAGCACCTGGTGACACTTCCCTGACAGCAACTATTAGCGAACAATAAAGTAAATGAGCGTCCAGCAAACAAAGAGTAACAGCAACACAACCACCACAAAAAGCCCCTGCACCTGTGTCGTGCCTACAGGAAGCTTCAGTTCTCTCCTGTGGCACAAAATGCTCTATAATCCTGCTCTACTTTTCCAGCTTCATTTCCTGGCACTCTCACCACATGAGCCTGAACTGCAGCTGGTCAGAAAATTTGCTGGTCCCTGAATGAACACCATGCTGAACCATACCTTCTTCTGCCCCCTCTACTTAGGATGCTCTTTGCCGTCTCTCTTCCTGCTGAACTCCTATCTACCCTTCAAGACCCCAACCAAGTGCCACCTCTTCTTGGAAGCCCTCCCTGATTGCCCAGGCTGTCCCTTATGTGTGTTTCTACAGTGTTCTGTACACGTGCTTCTCATAACACACAAATTAGACTGAACTGATGATTTTGAAGCCAGAATTTGTTTCTTATTCATAATTGTATCCCCAACTATGAGTGCACTTCTGAGCACACAACATGGTAAATTCTCTATGTGTTTATTGAAAGACTGAGTAAATGAATGACTAAATGATGGAACTGCTGAATATCCATCATGTACTTTCACGCCAAGAATCACTGGGAGAAATTATCAATACTTGTTCACCAGCTAAATAAAGCAAAATATATCACACCTATTTAGGAAATTCAAACACCTGTGTTTTTTAACTTTTCTTTGATTGTGGATCCCTTGGAGAATGTGATGAAACCTATGAACCTCTCTGAAAAAAAAATGCACTTCATGCACATACAAAATTATGCGTATAATTTTAGGTATACAGAATCCCTGAAATCTATTCATAGACCTTAGAATCAATGCACCCCCCACCAAGACCAATTCAATCAACAAATAATTAAACCTAATATAAATAGCAACACAATTCTAAATTAATAGAACTTCTTCATCATTTTTCCTTGCACAAATATGTACATATTTGGATAAATACTGATTCCTATAGAAACACAGTTAATGGAGCATTATCAGAAACTACTTCTCATAGTTTCCTCATATGCATGCGAAAGCTGCACAGCGAATAAGGAAGACTGGTGAAGAACTGAGGCCTTTGAATCATGGTGTTGGTGAAGAATATTGAATATACCATGGACTTCCAGAAGAATGAACAAATCTATCTTGGAAGAAGTACAACCAGAATGCTCCTTAGAAGCAAGAATGGCAAGACTTCATCTCACAAACTTTGGACATGTTATCAGGAGGGACCAGTCCATGGAGAAGGACATCATGCTTGGTCAAGTAGAGGGTCGGTGAAAGAGAGGAAGACCCTCAATGATACGGACTGACACAGTGGCTGCAACAATGGGCTCAAGCATAGTAACAATTGTGAGGATGGTGCAGGACTGGGCAGTGTTTTGTGCTGTTGTACATAGGGTCGCTATGAGTCGGAACCAACTCAACAGCACCTAACGGCAACAACAACTTCTAGTAGAGGGATGATGTTAAGCTAACGCATCCACTCTCCTTTGCCTCTTCCTCATGACCAGTCACACACATTGGTGAAACAGTCGACCCAGATATTGATCCTGGTCTGCACCCCCGAAACACAGCATGTGTGTACGTGTAAAATTCTCTGGTTCTTTCTGGGATAAATCTCTGTCCTTAAGCGCAAATGACTTCAGTAATTTTGATACATACGTGCTGTCCTTATTTTGTTCAATCTGTCTCCAAGTTCTATTATAATAATTAAGCACTCAGCTGCTAACCAAAAGGTCAGCAGTTCAGAACCACCAACCGCTCTGCAGGAGAAAAGACATGGCAATCTGTTCCCATAAAGATTACTGAAACCAAAAAAAAACAAACCCATTGCCATCGAGTTGATTCTGACTCATAATGACCCTATAGGACAGAGGAGAACTGCCCTATAGAGTTTCCAAGGAGCGCCTGGTGGATTTGAACTGCCGACCTTTTGGTTGGCAGCCGTAGCTCTTAACCACTAGACAACCAGGGTTTCCATAGGGTTTCCAAGGAGCACCTGGTGGATTTGAACTGCCAACCTTTTGGTTGGCAGCCGTAGCTCTTAACCATTAGACCACCAGGGCTCCTCCTGTAAAGATTACAGCCTAGGAAATCCTATTGGGCAACCCTCTGTCATATAAGATTGCTATGAGTTGGAATTGACTTAATGGCACACAACATCATCATAATAAGAGCTGCTGTATAAATAGCATCTATGTTGTAGGCACTTCATATATAACATTATCTCATATCCTTATAGTAATCCTATGAGAACTATCTCCATTTTACACATGAGAAAGCTAAAGCTCACATTTGCTGATTAACTTTCTCAAAGCCACCAGTAAATGTTAACACTGGGATTTGAACCCTCATCTGTCTGGAGTTTTACTCCCCACCTCCTTCCCACCCCTATCCCCAATACATAACTTGCCTTAAATCCTGCTGATGGAGCACCTTATTAGAATGTTAAGGTTGGAGGGTGCCTCAGAGTTTATTCAATAAAATCTCTTCATTTTATTTAAATATGAGTCAACTGAGGGGGAGAAAGGAGTAGTGAAATATCCCGGTCAGCTGCACAAAGAGATGATGGCTAAGCCGGGTCTCAGCCTTCCAGTTTGGCTTCTTGGCTCCCGGCACACCCTTATGTAACTGTTATCAGGTGTCTCTGCTAGCCAGCTGCTCAGTGAGAAAATTAGGTGTTTCTTCAATATGACTGGATCAGAGATAGCACAACTCTGTCAGATAAAGATCGTTAACAAGGGTAAAATTAGATTTACTATCCTACTATGCTTCCTAAACTTAGAAACGAGAGATATTCTGTTAAGATTTTTAAGTCAGAGAATTTACTGATGGTTAAATCTGTTCTGAAGTAGTGGTTAATATTTTACTAGTAATCAGTGAAAACAAGTAGAATTTCCAAGTCTCCGCTACATGCATTCACAGGCAACATCATTTTAAAGTTTGAATTGTTTCACTCATTTTGTTATTTTCAAATTTTGTCTAATTTAAGGTTTTTTTAAAAAATTAAAAACAGTAATCTAAAATATTTACCAACACTTACACCTGTTTATCATAGGGTTGCTATAAGTCAGAATCAACTGGACAGCAGTGGGTTTTTTTTTTTTTAAACACCTGCTTAATATTTGGGCCTATCCTGTATAATGTCCAAAAGCTACAGTTTTACAAAACAACCTATTATTCCCAGCAGGGGCGGATTATCCAATAGGCAAGATAAGCATGATGCTTACCTTACCAGATCATTTGCGGCGAACAATTTCACATTTTTTCCCTACATCAAAGATTCTGCTTCTAGGTATGGCTGGCATCTCTCTCTCAACCCCACAGCACCTTCCTACAGAATCAAAGCCACTTTTCAAATTTATAATCCCTGACAGGTGTTGACGACCCAGTAAGCAAGGTCAGCACGGGTTTACTTGCGCTTACTTACTAAACTGCAGTGAACAATTTCACATGGGTTCCACCACATCTTTGTGAAACTGTGAAATTGTTCACTACAGATGATCTGGTAAGTAAGGTAAGCACCAGTGCTGACCTTGCATATTGGCTAATCTGTCCCTGATTCCCAGTTTTCTGAATTCTTACCAAAGGAAAATGTAAAACTTGCAGGATTTAAAGAAAAGACCTGAGGGAGGAAGACACGCTCCAACAATCCCAAGAGATAATTTACTTCATTCAAATTTCCTCCTTCACATGCCATACATACAAAAGTTCTCTGTAGTGTAGAAAAGTACAGAAACGAGTTGGAGAAGTGTTACTGGGATCTTGCGTGTCATTTGTAGACTCTCAGGCCCCAGTGGGTGCCAGCACCCTGCCGTGGGTCCTGCAGGGCCCCTTCCCACCCAGATGCTGTTGGGGAGATGGGGGCGACCAACGCTGTGTCTGGGTGTGAGTTGGTATCCTGGGAAGATCAAGGCCAGTGAGCAGCTCTCCCTCTCTGCATGCCCGCCTTCCCTTCTTCGGAACAGCCTCCCCAAATCCTCACGGAAGGCCTAATCCCCAGAGCGGCGAGAAGACCGCGGAGGAGCCGCCCGGGAGCCGGCCGCCCAGCCCGCGCCCTCACCAGTTCCGCGCGCAGCGCGGCCAGGGCGCCCTCGACGCGCGCCGAGCTAAGCTCCTCCGGCCGGGCCTCAGCCGCTGCCTCCGCCTCTTCCCGGGCCCGTCTCGAGCCCGCGCGCGGTACCGCCCGCTGGAAGGCGCGCAGCAGCCGCCGCCTGATGTCTTCCAACAGCCCGCTGGTGGTGGGCATCTCGTCCTGGGCGTCGGCGTCCACGCTGTCCCTGCGGAAGCCTCGCGTGGGACTATTATCCATTGGGTCCCTGATCAAAGGGACCTATTATTGCCTAGAGCCCGAGGGGTCCCCGGGAAGTTCCACTTAGCGACGACCGGAGTCCCCCGTCACGTCTCAGAGATGCCCAGTCGGTCCTCCTTCGCGCTTGCTCGCGATTTGTTTCCAAATTTGGGGATTAGGGCAGGTCAGGGCGGGGGTCACTAAGGGAGCCCGCCAGACCCCTGCCGCCTGGGACGGTATTATTGCTCTGCCGCTCAGAGATGCTTCATTTCTCCCAGCCCCATCTACATCCTCTATCACTCGTTAGCAGGAAAGGTGAAGGTGGTTCCCAGAACTCTGAGCAGACGTTTCAACTAAGTAACTTTTTCTTACTCCTTGGAGTGAAAGGGAGGAGCTGTTCAAGAAGAAGTCTTCAGGACTGAGCGAGGCACAGATGAAAGGTTTGGGACTAAACGTAGAATTTTTTGTCACAGAGGCTTCCCCAGTTTCCTTGATTATTTACTTTCTTGTGCCAGGCACGTGCCAGGTATTGGGAATGCAAAGGCCCCCATTACCTGTTCCCAGGTATTGTCCACAGTCTAGTGGGAGACGCTTGGCCCTATTTCCGTGTTAGAAAAAATGGTCTTTCCACAAGTCTAACAATGGCAGAATGCACCCGGGATTCTGAACCTCAGTGCTCCTTTCTATACTTGACTCCTTTCTGACACTTTCACATTTTAGAAAGGGGTTAAAATGAAAAACAGAAATCAGGCTTACCCCAAAGAGTGTCATTTTTTAATATCCAATTCATTGTTATCATGTGCCAATGTTACTCATATATCCGTTATGAATTAACATAATCAACTGGCTTTCTTTGATCTAACGAAGAATTACTAAAAAGGAATAAACAATCAAAAATTTTGTGTGATCATAAAATGCAATTTAAAAAAAAAAAAAAACAGTGACAGAACAATTGGTCCCTATTCTCCTGGAGCAACAGAGGAAGAAGGTGACCCAGGAATCAAAGAAGGAAATGGTCTGCAGGTCTAACTGCCTCCGTGAACCACAACTTCCCTTGTCATGAGACCAGAAGAAATGGATGGTGCCTGACTACCATTACTGAACATTTTGCTGAGGGACCCAATGGTTGGATCTTGACTGAAAGGAGGAAAACTGTGGAACAGAACTTCAATTCTTACTGTCAACCAGACTTACTGGCTACATTGAAACTAAAGGGACACCCCAAATCTATTGCCTGGAAACAACTTCTAAACCTTGAACTGAAACTATCCCATAAAGTTACCTTTAAAGTAAACAACAGCTCAGTTCAATAAATGTTTGCCTTGAGCACTGCACCCTTTTAAAGAATTACCTATATGAGACCAAAATGAAAACACTAACTCTAAAGCATGGATGAGAACTGTAAGGGGCAAAGAATGTAAGTTAAAGGTGGTGAAACAGTATGGGTAGAGATAGTGAGAATGGAGACACAAAGTGAAGTATGAAACCATCGTCAATGAACTGTACATGGAAAAATGGTTGAATGGGTATATGTTTTGTTGTGTATATTTTCACCAAAAACCAAAAAAACAAAAAACAGTGACAGGGATGTTCACACGGTACTCTCATCTTAGAGTTTTTCATTCATTCAATAAAGATATACAGGTCGCCTTCAATGTTCCAGGGTCCAGGGTAGGTATTGATGACGGTAAGAACTAATTTTTTTTTTAATGTTTACTATGTGCCAGGCACTCTTCATATATTAACCCATTTAATATTCACTACAAAACCGTAAGGTAAGTACTATTAGTTTCTGCACCTTATAGATGAATAAACTGAAGCAACAAGTGGTTAAGCAGTATGCCAGAGTTCACAGAGCTGGTAGTGGTAGCTTGGGATTTGCATGTAGGCAGTCTGGTTGTGTTCCAAACCAGTAGGATACACCCTGGATACACCTGCCTCCCAAAGAGGAAGAGAACGTACTTAGTTGACATGTTGAGTGAGTGAGGGATTGGGTCACTGTTCAGAACCCTACACTCATAAATTGTCAGTTCTACTGAAATAGCTAAAGATTTCAATGAATATGGAGGAATACAGATTACAAGGCCTCTGTGGATAATCTCCCAAATTCAACACCTAATAATAGTTTAAGCACAATTAAACACCTATCTTTGTATATTGTTTCATAACGAGATTCTAGAAACATTTGAATATTAATTCTATTGGTAGAAATTATGAAAATCCATATGGTCCATCAGGAACCAACAGAGTATAAATTTGTTGTTGTTTTAGGTGCCATCGAGTCAATTCCAACTCATACCGACCCTATGTACAACAGAAGGAAACACAGCCTGGTCCCTCGCCATCCTTACAATCATTGTTATGCTTAAGCCCGTGGTAGCCATAGTGTCAATCCACCTCACTGAGGGTCTTCGTCTTTTTCGCTGACCCTCTACTTTACCAAGCATGATGTCCTTCTCCGGGGACTGATCCCTTCTGACAACATGTCCAAAGTATGTGAGACGTAATCTCGCCATCCTTGCCTCTAAGGAGCATTCTGGCTGTACTTCTTCCAAGACAGATTTGTTCGTTCTTTTGGCAGTCCATGGTATATTCAATATTCTTCTCCAACACCACAATTCAAAGACATCAATTGTTCTTCAGTATACCTTATTCATTGTCCAGCTTTCACATGCATTGGAGGCAATTGAAAACACCATGGCTTGGGTCAGGTGCACCTTAGTCTTCAAGGTGACATCTTTGCTTTTCAACTCTTTAAAGAGGTCTTTTGCAGCAGATTTGTCCAATGCAATGCATCTTTTGATTTCTTGACTGCTGCTTCCATGGGTGTGGATTGTGGATCCAAGTAAAATGAAATCCTTGACAACTTCAATCTTTTCCCTGTTTATCATGATGTTGCTTACTGGTCCAGTTGTAAGGATTTTTGTTTTCTTTATGTTGAGGTGTAACCCATACTGAAAGCTGTGGTCTTTGATCTTCATCTGTAAGAGCTTCAAGTCCTCTTCACTTTCAGCAAGCAAGGTTGTGTCCTCTGCATAACGCAGGTTGTTAATGAGTCTTCCTCCAATCTTGATGCCCCATTCTTCTTCATACAGTACAGCTTCTCAGATTATTTGCTCAGCATACAGACTAAATAGGTATGGTGAAAGGATACAACCCTAACATACTCCTTGCTGGACTTTCAACCACACAGTATCCCCTTGTTCTTTTGAACAACTGCCTCTTAATCTGTGTACAGGTTCCTCATAAGCACAATTAAGTGTTCTGGAATTCCCATTCTTCAAAATGTTAGGCATAATTTGTTATGATCTACACAGTTGAATGCCTTTGCATAATCAATAAAACACAGGTAAACATCTTTCTGGTATTCTCTGCTTTCAGCCAGGATCCACTGGAAATCAGCAATGATATCCCTGGTTCCACATCCTCTTCTGAATCCGGCTTGAATTTCTGGCAGTTCCTGCTGCAGCCGCTTTTGAATGATCTTCAGCAAAATTTTACTTGAGTGTGATATTAATGATATTCTTCAGTAATTTCTGCATTCAGTGGGATCACCTTTCTTGGGAATAGGCATAAGTATAGATCTCTTCCAGTTGGTTGGCCAGGTAGCTGTCTTCCAAATTTCTTGACATAGATAAGTGAGTACCTCCAGCACTGTATCCGTCTGTTGAAACATCTCAATTGGTATTCCATCAATTCCTGGAGCCTTGTATTTCACCAGTGCCTTCAGTGCAGCTTGGACTTCTTCCTTTGGTACCATTGGTTCCTGCTTGTATGGTATCTAGTAAAATGGTTGAACGTCCATCAATTCTTTTTGGTACAGTGATTCTGTGTATTCCTTCCATCTTCCTTTGATGCTTCCTGCGTCACTTAATATTTTACCAGTAGAATCCTTCAATATTGCAACTCGAGGCTTGAATTTTTTTCTTCAGTTGTTTTGGCTTGGGAAATGCTGAGTGTATTCTTCCCTTTTGTTTTTCCATCTCCAGGTCTTTGCACATGTCATTATAATACTTTACTTTGTCTTCTCGAGCCGCCCTTTGAAATCTTCCGTTCAACTCTTTTACTTCATCATTTCTTCCTTTCGCTTTACTTACTTGACTTTCAAGAACAAGTTTCAGAGTCTCTTCTGAAATCCATTTTGGTCTTTTTTTCCTTTCCTATCTTTTTAATGACCTCTTGCTTTCTTCATGAATGATGTCCTTGATGTCATTCCACAGCTTGTCTGATCTTCAGTCATTAGTGTTTAAGGCGTCAAACCTATTCTTGAGATGGTCTCTAAATTAAGGTGGGATATACCCAAGTCATACCCTGGCTTTTGTGGACTTGTTCAAATTTTCTTCAGTTTCAACTTGAACTTTCATATGAGCAGTTGATTGTCTGTTCCACAGTCAGCCCCTGACCTTGTTCTGACTGATGATATTGAGCTTTTCCGCCGTCTCTTTACACAGAAGTAGTTGATTTGATTCCTGTGTATTCTATCTGGCTAGGTCGACGTGTATAGTCACTGTTTATGTTGGTGAAAAAAGGTATTTGCAATGAAGAAGCTGTTGGTCTTGCAAAATTCTATCGTGCGACCTCCAGCATCATTTCTATCACCAAGGCCATATTTTCCAACTACCAATCCTTCTTCTTTGTTTCCAACTTCTGCATTCCAATCTCCAGTAATTATCAATGCATCCCAATTGCATGTTCTATCAATTTCAGACTGCAGAAGTTGGTAAAAATCTTCAGTTTCTTCAGCTTTGGCCTCAGTGGTTGGTGTGTAAATTTGAATAATAGTCGTATTAAGTGATCTTCCTTGTAGGCATATGGATATTATCCTGTCACTGACAGTGTTGTACTTCAGGATAGATCTTGAAATGTTCTTTTTGACAATGAATGCAACACCATTCCTCTTCAAGTTGTTATTCCTGGCATAGTACACCATATGGTTGTCTGATTCAAAATGGCCAATACCAGTCCATTTCAGCTCACTAAGGCCTAGGATATCAACGTTTATGCGTTCCATTTCATTTCTG